CATACTACCCTCTCATAGCTTAGAAATGGAGAAGGAAATGGCAACTCACTCCAGTATTCTTGCCTAGAGAATCTTGTGGACAGAGGAGCCTGGTGGGCTGCTGTCCATAGTGTCACACAGAGTCGGACACGACTGAAGTGACTTAGCTTGCATGCATGCATAGCTTAAAAAAGTACATGACCTAATTTTGACATATATACAGTATCTTCTGCCAGTAGGCAAAATATACAATATTTTCTTCAAATGCTGAATTTTGGTGTACTCTTGGTGAAGAATTTAAGAGTTAATAACAGACCCAAATAAAATTGAAATTCCATGTATACAAGGTCCCAGTAATGCAGATGGTTATCCTCTTGAAATATTCTTATCTGTCTAAATTCTCACATACAAAGGCCATGCCAACTGTGATACATGTTCTCTTCAGTGATAAGTACCGATGGCAGAAACTTTAGATTCTTAAAGATATTTTGGAACAAAGGATATATGTTATAAAAATGCAGCCTGTGATAAAGATAGCATATCAAATAAAATGTAGAGAAAATATATTATTCAGTAAGTGATCTTGAAGAAACTAGCTAACTCCACTGGGGAGAGGGCTGGAGCATGGGTGCATACCTACTAAGTTACTTCAGTTGTGTCTGATTGTGCAAGATATGGACTCTAGCCCATCAGACTCCTCTGTCGAAGGATTCTTCAGGCAAGAATACTGGCAAGGTTGCCATGCCCTCCTTCAGGGGATCTTCCCGACCCAGGGATCAAACCCATGTTTCTTTACATCTGCATTGACTGGAGTGGGGGGGCGGACAGGCAGGGATTCTTAACCACTAGCACCACCTGGAAAGCCCAGGGGGTGGAGGGGTGGTGGCGGTAAACACTCCTACTTTATGACAGAATAGATTCAAAATAAATAAATGAAAAAATAGAAACTAAAAAGGATTTATGAGTGAATTATTGATGTTACTGTGTCTAAACCCCTACAGATCTACTCCTCTTGTAGTACTTTATTGCATTTCGCAGATACTGCATTTTTTACAAATGTTTGTGGCCATCCTGGATCAAGCAATATTGATGCCATTTTCTGAACACCATTATTTTTTAATTAAGGTGTCTACATTGTTTTTTACAGTTAATAGACTTATAATATAATGTAAATGGAACTTATATTTGCCGTAAAGTAAAAAAATTGGTGTGACTTGCTTTGTGGTGCGATTTGCTTTATTGTGGTGATCTGCAACTGAGCCTGCAGAATCTATGAGGTATGCCTGTATTATGCATATAAACAAAGATAAAACTATAAAGAAAAAAGAATCAGTAGATCACTACATAAGACTTTGAATTTTTTAAGATAAATTTTTTTAAAAAAATGAGCCAAAGGCACAGTACAGACTGAAAAATATCTGCAACATATATAAAACAAATAATATTTTAATTCATAAAGCTCTAAAATCCAGTAACAGGTTAAATACCAATAGGAAAGTGGGCAATTCTCAAAGGAAATAAGTAGTCAATAAGTATCAATACTTGAAAGATTTTCAAGCTTAAAAGTCATGTAAATGCAAATGAAGACAAAATTTTTTCAACTATTGGATTGGAAAAGATTGAAAAAGACTGAAAGGGAAAGTTGCTGAACATACAGGAAAATGGGTACCCAGTAATGCTGCTGAAGGAAGGAGGGCAAGTGGTGTCATTTGGCAGGGGGCAGGGGGACTGCAACCTGTGCAGATATGTTAACAGAAACACAATTTACTGTCAGTCTGTAAAGTCATTATTTTATATTAATTCTTCCATTCTCACAACTTTCAGTTGGGCATGTTTAACAAACAGGTTTTGCCTAAATATGAGACACCTGCTCAGTGACCTAAAATTAAAGGATTTACTCTCTTTAATTTGGTTGGATAGAATATCTTGACATTGTTTACTGAAAATAAATGCAGGTGCACCTGTCAGAATTAATATTTGAGTCATTTAGATTGGCGTAGTTCCCAAACAGAAGCCTCCTACATCCTCTCAGATTTCATTCACTGTCAAGAAATATTCAGCTTTAATGAAGAAAGAAGGAAAGCAAAAACAGAAATTCATGTTTCCCATGTGCACTTTATTCTTTCTAAAGTGACTGATATATTTTTCTGTCCTAACTAGTTTTCTTGTTAAGAGTTGCTGCCCTTTCTTTCTAACTTCACTCTGTAGAACAGTCTCTGGGTCCATCCATGTCTTTACAAATGACCCAATTTCGTTCCTTCTCGTGGCTGAGTGATATTCCATTGTATATATGTATGACATCTTTACCCATTCTTCTGTTGATGGATGTTTAGGTTGCTTCCATGCTCTGGCTATTGTAAATAGTAATGCAGTGAACTTTGCAGTGTGCTCTGTGGTGACTGAAATGGGAAGGAAATGCAAAAGAGAGGGGATATATGTATATATATAGCTGACTGATTCAGTTTATCATACAGGAAAAACTAACACAACATTGCAAAGCACCTATACCCCAATAAAACTTAATGAAAACATCAAAAAGAGTTGCTGTCCTTGAATGTATTTCTTGCCATTCACCGCCACACAACCACTTTCATTAAAGTGGTTGCTGCTTGTAGAAGCCATATCCAAACACTGGTCATATTTGTTAAAATTGGACAAAGAGGAACATAAAGGAGGGACATTTTCCAAATACAACAAAGTGGGAATTCCTTGGTAGTCCAGTGGTTAAGATTTGGTGCTTTCACAGTCAAGGGCCCAGATCCATCCCAGGTCTCAGGGGTTTAAGCTACCACAAGCTGCGTGGCGAGGCCAAAAAAAAAACCAATAAAACTATTATACTTTTTTTTAATGAACTTTTTCTTAACTAATAGAAACAAATGTGCCTTAAAATCAGTTTTAATAATTTCCACTCCTAAAGAGTTCCTTAAAATTAAGGTAGATTTTCAAATGGAATGAAAGCTTTATAATGAAAATAACAGTGATAAAGTGGCTGATATTTATTGATCTGTGCTACATGCCAGGCACTGTTGTAAGCCCATTACATGTATACATGTATTTATACCAATATTTAATCCTAATTATGGGGATCAAACCCCATAGTAATCAGTGTTATTCACATCCGGCATAATCTGAGGCAAAGTAACTGAGATCACTCGAATAGTAAGTGATAGAGCTAGAATGTGAAAAAATATTATAATTTTGACTTCTTCAGAATTTGCTGATAAGCTACAAATAGAAGGTAGTTCTGAAGCTAATGAGTGAATCCTAATGAACAATGTACAAATATTTGATAATATGTATTATGAATTTGTTCAGTTGGATTTTTAGAAGAAAATCTTAAATTTATCTTACAATAAAAACCTTTTTTCTCCCTTTTTTTCCTTTTTTCCTTTTAATTTCAAGAGTCAAAAGTTTAGGTTAGGGGAGAGAGGCAGGTCGGGGTTTCAGGATGGGGGGACACATGTATACCCATGATTGATTCATATCAATGTATGGCAAAAACCATTACAATGTTGTAATTATCCTCCAATTAAATTAATTTTAAAAATGTTCATTTGGCAATGGATATTTGGTAACCTATCATTCCACTGTAGAATTAAATGTATTTGAAAAAAATTTTCTTTAAACCCAAATATATATATATAAATATATATATATTTACCCAAATTCTCCCATTTTGTGGGATTTTATGATCAATGTTTCATTTTGATTTTTTTTGTCTTGTTCTACCCATTCTTCTTTCTGATTTCATCACTTAGCTTCTGCTTCAGATAACCTGCATTAAAATTTGTCTTTGATGTTCTACTTGCTAATGACTGTACAGAAATAAAGTAAAAAAAAAGTTTAGGTTAACTTGATGAATCTATTTCAAGTTTAATTATCTTCATCCAATGCAATTTTCCTGGAAAAGATATATTTTTCCTTTTTAGCTATTTCTCATATGGCAAAAAGCTACTATTCTAGTTAGTTCAGATGTTAAATAAAGAGCAAAGAACTTTGTAAAAATAATAGAAGTTTCTTTTCTGGAACATGTATTCTAAACCTGGGAAGACATGTATATGTCCCTCCAAGTCCATAAATAACTTGGCCCCTGACTTTTTAAGATTTTCTCTGATACTATACCTCATACCTAAAATAGTTTCTGTTCTATAAATAAAAACCTCTGTTCATTTTTTAAAATCCATTTTTCTTAAATAATGTACAGGAAAGATTAGATTTATATAGGCCCCTTAGGACCATGCATGGGTATAGGTTGCCCTGGGTAACACCATTCTTAAAAAGTTATCAGTATTCCAGGATCAAAAATGCTCTTACAGAATCAAAAATGCTCTTACTTATCCAGTAATTGTCCTCTGAAACAATTTCTTCCAGTCACTTTCAACTACCAACTACCCACTGTATTACTTAAACCAACATCTTCAAATAAAGAATGCCCTAACATCTCTAGGTTTGATCTTGACTTTGTCAGACTTAAACATGGTAAACAGTATCCTCCCAATGAAGTTCTCTCTCTATACCTCTGAGACATTCGTACTATTTATCATCCTAAGGTGCAGGTATTGTGTGCTGAGATGCCCATGGTGCTTGCAATTGCAGCCAGTGGAGCCAAGTAAATTCTGAATGAATTTTCATTTGAAAGACCAAGGGAAAGGCATTAAAATTCTCAAAAAATACTCTGTTCCGTGAGGGGCCTCCTTAGAGATCACTCTCTTTCAGACTTGGAAGTTTAGAGCAGCAAATCATTTTCTTCAGAATAGACAAAAATATATAAGCACTCTGTACTGTCTTCCTATTTGTCTGGGTCCCATTCCTTTTTATTCTTTTCCATTGTATCCTGTCAGAAAGATAGGTTTTGTGTCTAGAAAACATCCATCTCTAAATCAAGATGAATATTCAGTGCCTTTTACATCATAAAACTAAATGTATTAGAAAGAGGTGGAATGAAAATACTCATGGTGATTTTTTTTCACCTGACGTCATAAACTCCTCCCTTCCTCTTGTTGTGGATACCGTGTCTTTCTCTTGCCCTCCTCTTTCTGCATAGAACTAATTAGGAAAGTAAGGTTGAAGAATTAACCAGCCTTGGACGGAGAAGGAGACACTGCACTGCCACATAGTTTAAGACCTCAGTTCCAGACTGAACTCTCAACATTAGGTAAGCATTTATTCATTAGAACAACAAATATCAAGTCATTGGTTATAATTACAAGCAGAAATGGGAGACATAGAAAGAGGAGAGATGAAATTCAACATTGTATAGGAAGACCAAACTATATTTAGGTTTACAGGAAAAGATAATTTCTTGCTGTTGTTTTGGGGTTTGGGGGTGCTTTTGTTTCTTTGCTCTCTTAAGTTTTGTTTGTTTTTTTTTTGTTTTTTTTTTTAAAGTGTTTACTGAATTTGTTGCAACATCGCTTCTGTTTGATGTTTTGATTTTTGGGCTGTGAGGCATGTGGGATCTCAGCTCCCCGACCAGGGGTCGACCCCACACCTCTGCATTGAAAGGTGGTAGAGTCTTAACCACTGGACCATGAAGGAGGTCCCTCTTTGCTCTCTTAAGTTTTTATATGGAGAAAATAAGCCTTACAAGATATAAAATTATTTGCATCATGATATGGGCACACTAGAGGAACAGACATGAATCTCTCTAAACAGGAAACCTATCATCTGAAAAATAATCAGTACTATTGGATTACAAGTACTGTAAGAAGTTCTTTATTTCCTCCTTAACAAACATTCACTATTGTATTATAACTTTATGTGCTGGGCTAGCCGCTCAGTCATGTCCTACTCTTTGTGACCCCATGGACTGCAGCACCCCAGGATCCTCTGTCCATAGGATTCTCCAGGCAAGAATACTGGAGTGGGTTCCCACTGCCTTCTCCAGGAGATCTTCCCAACCCAGGGATGGAACCCAGTCTCCTGCATTGCAGGTGGATTCTTTGCCAGCTGAGCCACAAGGGAAGTCCATAAATGGCATATCACATCATAAAAACAGATACCTTATGTTTTATTTATTTATAAGAATGAATTCTAGGAGCGTGCTGTGCCTTTCTTGTCTGGTTAATATTAATAACATATTTTAGCTGCTTGCTGTGTCCTGATGGGCACCCAAATGCCTCAAGAAACCTCAGTTCCTAAAACTTATGTTGAGTATAATTATTTTCCTTGAGACAGTGACTCTGCTAGTGATAAAATTTTGGGTAAAGGAAGTACAAACCTTTACTTTCCTATTCAAGAACAGGTGCTTACTTAGAAACAAACTCACAGACATAGACAACAGACTTGTGATTTCCAAGAGGTGGCGGTGGGGAGGGATGGATTGGGAATTGGGGATTAGTGGATGCAAGCTATGGAACAATAAACAAAGGTTCTACTGTATAGCACAGGAAACTATGTTCAATATCCTGTGATAAACCATAATGAAAAATAGTGTACATATATGTATAACAAATCACTTTGCTATACAGCAGAATTTAGCACATTATAAATGGACTATACTTCAATAAAATAATTTTTTAAAGAACATTGACTTATTATAGGGAATTTATAATTGAGTCATGTTCAGTTCAGTTCAGTTCAGTCACTCAGTCATGCCTGACTCTTTGCAACCCCATGAACTGCAGCACGCGAGGCCTCCCTGTCCATCACCAATTCCTGGAGTCCACCCAAACCCATGTCCACTGAGTTGGTGATGCCATCCAATCATCTCATCCTCTGTCATCCCCTCCTCCTCCTGCCCATATAACATTCTGATCTTACACTTTTCAGAGTTAATAGTTGTCATTATGACTTTCTAATGGGATTCCAAATAAAAAATATTTTATGAGACTATTTTTCATTCTTATTCTCTAAGAATTTCTCTTTTCTTTCTTGTGAGCTTTAAAATTTATCTTCATCTTTAATAAAGAAAGATCCTTATGAAATTTATCACTGTTTTCACTAAAGGATATTGTCTAGTGTTGTATATTAATTACAGTGTCCTCTTTGTGTGAACCCATGGGAGAACTGTCTCTCTGATTTTAATGTCACCAATCTGTGACCCTGCAAAATTTGTGAGTCAAAAGAGCTGTTTAGCCTAGAAAGATAAAGTGAAGCCAGAGCAAGGTAGGTTTTGATTATATAGAAGTTAGAGAACTGGACTTAATTTAGAAATGAATAAGTGAAATTTGAGCAAATACTCTGGTAAAAAGTATAAGGATAATTTTATGGGCAGTCTGAATCATGTCTATTTCTCTTTGTGTTAGCTGCTAGAAAGCTTAGAGTAAAATATGGACCCTTACCTGCAAGTATACTTGATTTTCATTGTTCGTGATAAGGTTCAAAAAGTCACCTGTGAACACTGTCTTAATTATTTTTGAGCCATTGCTCCTAAGGAAAATTCGAGATTAGGTTCCTGCAAGCCTCTGGTCACAAGGTTTTTATCGGCAGATCAATACATAACTTTGTTATATGTGTATTTTCATTTAAAGACACATTACTTAATATATCTTGTTGATTATCACTGAACTTACAATCAAGAGCATTATAATCCATGCCTAAAAGAAACTTATCCAATATGTGTATTCTCCCTAGGAAGGTACATGACAGACTTTTTGCACTTAGGAACACTAAAGCACTTAAGCACTATGCTCGGGGGCCATTTTCTACAGTGAAATAGGCAACAAAAAGCAAAAATGCAGAACACGGCACTGGGACTTCCCTGGTGGCCCAGTGGTTAAGATTCCACACTTCCAATAGGGAGTTGCAGGTTCCATCACTGGTGCGGGAACTAAATGCCAACTAAGACAAACCAAAGGAAAAAAAAAAACACACACAACACTAACTAGACGTGTAAAGGACTTGTTTGCAGTAGGGGAGCTTGAGCAAGAAGTCAGCTTCTTCAGCTTCAACTGGCTGAAGATGTGGGCATTGGGAGGCTCCAATTTTTCACTGCCCTGTCCGTGTCCACAAATGACTTCAGGATCACTGTCAGTACTGCTTTGAAGTTACAAATAACTTTAAACAAGTAGGTGAATTCACAAATATGAAATCCATGAATAAAGAGGACCAACCCTACATGCAAGATTGTACTCTATATGCCTTGCCTGCCTACTTCACTCATAACTCCGTATTTCTTTTGTATCTGTATTTCCGGTAGCCTGAATTTTTATTTTAATTTAATTTTTTATGTACTTTTCCTGTGTGTATAAGTAGTTTTGAATCCTTTGGGGAACAAACCAAGCAATTAAGAAGCCAATCAGCTACAAGTATTTAGAATTCCTCTTCTTTGCACTAGCGACCTTACTACATAATTGTATACAAAAAGATCTCTGAACATCAAACCTAGTAAGAGAAACATGATCAACTTCCCTTTAAAATCATTTCATTTCATTTTCTCTCAAAAGACATTGAATTAGAATTAGTGAATGTGTTTAACCTAAGGGTTTACTAAGAAGTTAAGATTGCATTTAGAGATGAGGTGAGTGAGTGAATACTCAAGCAGATACGGGATGAGAAGATAGTTAGTGGCTATACTTCCTTATCTGTCCAACCTCAACTCTGAAAACTTCCTCTTTTCAGGACTAACAGTCCATATCTCTTCCGACTCTTGCTGGGAATGCAAACACCTCAGACATACCATTCAGTGGACTGGAGCCCAGGGGGCCTGATCATAAGAAACATGCTTCTTAGAAGTTCAGACTCACATAAACTATATGACAGAGTTTTATGACGATGGATTTTAAATAAATCTACAGTCATACATTCTGAGTATCTCATAGCCACACAGAGATGCCACATAGAGAAGTCAAGTAGCTTTCTCTGTCTGGAAAATGTATTGTAAAGAAATAATCCAGCAGAAGCCTAGGTTCTCAATGTTTAGTTATCTTTGCATCCAAGAGCCTGGCTGCTCAGGGCAGGGAACAAGAGTAAGTTGGATAAGCTCTATCACATTGGATAGAGGAAAAAAAAAAACTTTTTTTTTTTTTCTAATTCAGTCAAGACCTGATTGGAAATATGGGAGAGGGGGGAGTTTTATTGGAAGCAAAAAGCCATGGGACAGAGCTCCCAAAATCTACAAGATGCAATTAGATAAGAATGCATGGAGTTGTGTACGTTACATTTAGGCCCTTTACATCCGTTAATTTTATCAGACTAAAATGAGCCTCCGCCTTTGCTCACGTCTGATTCATCTTTAAGCTAGGTATTTCTCTCCTCTTAACCACCTGACCCACTCAAGTTTTTCTCTGGTCTTTGCCCCACATTGTGAAAAGAAGTTTCCCTACTTAACCTAAGACTCTTCCTCTGAGCTTCATATCATGCATTCAACAACTACTTTCAGTGACCTTCCTGTGTGCCAGGCCCTGTGGTAGGTGCTGCGGACACGTCGGAGCACAGAGCAGACATGGGTCTTTCTTCATGCAGCTCATAGGCTACCTAAGACAGGCTTATACCAAAGAAAACACAAATAAATATAAAGTTACAACTGTTGGCCTGTCCTGAAGGAAGAATTCAGAGTACAGTGAACATGTGTAATGGAAGACTTGACCCGGTGTAGACACTCACATCTCCCCAGGATCCAGTTTTGTGAACTTTCCATTTCCAGTGATTCTGATTGACACATCCCAGGGCCTCCTTCTCTCTCTCTTTCTTCCCTCTTCAGAGGAAGATGGCATTCAGAATTAATCTTAAAAAAGAATGGTGGTACAAGATGAACCTGTTTGCAGGGCAGGACTAGAGACCCAAAGGTAGAAAACAGACATGGGGACACAGTGGGGGGAAGGGAAGGGTGAGATGATGCGGAAGACTAGGATTGACATATATACCCTGTACTGTGCTTAGTCACTCAGTCGTGTCCGACTCTGTGTGACCCCATGGACTGTAGGCCGCCAGGCTCCTCTGTCCACAGGAATTCTCCAGGCAAGAATACTGGAGTGGGTTGCCATGGCCTCCTCCAGAGGATCTTCCCAACCCAGGGATTGAACCCAGGTCTCCTGCATTGCAGGCAGATGCTTTACCCTCTGCGCCACCAGGGAAGCCCAAGAATACTGGGGTGGGTAGCCTATCCCTTCTCCAGGGGATCTTCCTGACCCAGGAATAGAACTGGGGTCTTCTGCATTGCAGGCAGATTCTTTACCAGCTGAGCTACCAGGGAAGCCCAACATATATACACTACCGTATGTAAATAGCTGGCTACTGGGAACCTGCAGTAGGGCAGAGGGAGCTCAGCTCCGTGCTGTGTGATGACTTAAATGGGTGGGATTGAGGGGTGGGAGGTCCAAGAGGGAGGAGATAACGTATACACATAGCTGATTCCCTTCATTATATGGCAGAAACTAACACAGTATCATAAAGCAATTACACTCCAATTAAAAAAAAAAAAAGAATTACACCCTATGCAGTGAGGCTACTGGGGAGACTGAAAAGCCCCATAGCAACCCTTGCAAGGTGGCTGGCTGCTGTGGCTTTGTCCTGGAGAACCACATTCCTGTCCCCAGTGGCACTAGCATCATCCCAACCCCTGTGTCTAAGAAATTACTGACAATAGCTTGAATTGGTGACTTTCTGTACGTCTGCCAGGGGCTGTACTGCCTCCATGGGCAACTTTCCCAGGGCCATTTTTTTTTTTTTTTTTTTTTGATGCACTTGCTGAAACATATTTACCTGACCAAAGATTGAACCCATGTCCTTGGCAGTGAAAGCAGGGAGTTCAGTTCAGTTCAGTTCAGTTCAGTTCAGTTCAGTTATTCAGTCGTGTCCAACTCTTTGTGACCCCATGAATCGCAGCACGCCAGGCCTCCCTGTCCATCACCAACTCCCGGAGTTTACTCAAACACATGTCCATCGAGTCGGTGATACCATCCAGCCATCTCATCCTCTGTTGTCCCCTTCTCCTCCTGCCCCCAATCCCTCCCAGCATCAGGGTCTTTTCCAATGAGTCAACTCTTTGCATGAGGTGGTCAAAGTATTGGGAGTTTCAGCGTCAGCATCAGTCCTTCCAATGAACACCTAGGACTGATCTCCTTTAGGATGGACTGGTTGGATCTCCTTGCAATCCAAGGGACTCTCAAGAGTCTTCTCCAACACCACTAAATAACTTTTGATGCCATTTCCAAGACCTACAGCTAGCTCACTCTTGAAAGAGATCACCAAGTCTTCATATTAGGAATTCACCGACCATCTTAAGACCCACACCAGAGTTTCTCTGCAGAAGACCCTGGCTCCAGTTGTAGCCACCATATCATTTTACATGAGGAAAAGTGAATGAAGCCCAGTTTAAAAAAACAAACAAACAAATGAACCAAAAAGACAAACAAAAATCTTCAAGGATCTTTCTGGGTAGATTTAAATACTAACAGACAAAAATTAAATACATCCTTCCATGTTTTTAATTAGGGGTGGAATTCCTAGCTTTCTACTCTCCAGAGAACATGCCGGTTCTTAACTGTTCTACCAAATTACTGATCCTGGAAAAAATGCTGAAGAGTCACTTTCCTGAATCACTTAAGGTATGAAACATTGAATAGTTATATCTTCTTTGTTTTATTAATCTGTGAGATAACATCAGACTTATAGCTGTTTCCCAAATTTTCTTGATGGTAAGACTCTGGGAGTACTTGGTAAACATACAGTTTCCCAGTCCCCTCCTGCTAGAGATTGATTCAATGGATTGGGGATACAATGCAGTAAGTTATATTTTTGACAGTCTTGCTAGACACCTTCTAGGAAAATTCAGGCTGTGCTGGACTGGACTATTTATGAAGTAAATTTCAGTTCTAAATTTTATTAAATAGCAGAAGGGCGATTCTTTCTTGTTAAATTTTTATTTTTTAAAAACTTCTAAATTCAGATTAGTCGACTTGACCTGAATGGTATGTATAATTTTTAAAAAATATCTTTCACATTATCTCATTTGAGCTTCAAAAACACCTAATCAATCCCTCTCTAAAATTAATTCCTCTGTAATGTTAGAACCTCTGAATAGGCAGATATTTACATTATAATTTTACAGATAATATTACTGAATAACTTCCCCATTTCCAGGTGCTAGAATTCAGATTTAAATCTAGATTATCACATTTCAAATTGAGTGTTCTTTGGAAATGCTTGCCTCTCACAACAACATCTGAAGTAAGAATTAAGGAAATGAACCGTATAGGCATAGATGCCTTTCTGAGAAATCTCCTCTTTCATAGCTGCTTAGCTCTTTGCTCCTAATTTCTTATTTTTCCTACCCTGAGTCTTTTTATCCATAAATCTCTTTATCCTCCTTTAATGATTTCATTGTTATATAATGCCTGGCTTTGTTCTCTGACCACTGTTTCAAAATACCCTTTCAGGAAACACTAAGTCCTTTCGTGAATAAAAAAGATAAAGAAAAGATAGTCTCAGTTGCTTCCTCTTCCTCCATCCACTGGCATTTATAGCTGCATATTTTATAATTCCACTTTAGGCTTAAAGTTTAGTTTAGTTGCTCAGTCATGTCCGACTCTTTGCGATCCTGTGGATTGTAGGCTACCAGGCTCCTCTGTCCCCTGGATTTTCCAGGCAAGAGTGCTGGAGTGGGTTGCCATTTCCTTCTCTAGAGGATCTTTCCGACCCAGAGATTGAACCCAGGTCTCCCGCACTGTAAGCAGACACTTCACTTTCTGAGCCACCAAGGAAGTCTTTAGGCTTAAATGTTTAAATATCCTTCCAGATTTCCTTCACAAGCTCTACCTGCCATTTCTCTAGCGTTTTTACTCCCTCCTAGCCACTTTGCATCTCCTCTCAACACTCACTCTTTGGATAAATAAATTATTGAAAGGATTTGTTGGTTTTCTTATTGGAGAACAATGCTTTACAATGTCGTATTGGTGTCTGCCACACAACAACATGAACCAGTCATAATATAGACTGATTCTATATTATATAGACTGATTCTTTAGAGGCCCTCCCTGTAAAGCCTTCCCCTCCCATCCCATCCCACACCTCTAGGTTGTCACAGAGCACCAGTCTGGGCTCCCTGTGTTATATTGCAGCTTCCCATTAGTTATCCATTTTACACATGATAACATATATATGTCAATGCTACTTTCTCAATTTATCCTACCATCTCCGTCCCCCTGTGGTTTCAACCCATGCCAAAGCTTTCAATTGGTTCTGATCTTTTACTAGTTATTTTTTCAGAATCTGAGTATTGTAAAGAGGTTTTTTTTTTCTTCTGTGTGAACATTTCAATCATGTTTAAGTTCCATTCTTGAATAAGGATTATGTTTTCCTCATGTGAAACTGTTTTAATAAATGTATTACTCCATACACATAAGATCATCAATTCCAGACTTTAATCATGAAGAGAACAAGCATGACCCTTCCAGGTTACTTTAGTTTGTGGATTTTCACTAAGTATGATCCATGTTGCACGTTAGCATTAGACTACATTTGGAAAGATACAGTCTATGCAAAAATTTGAGTGAGGTCTCAGTTTGGGTAACACAGAAGAAAGTTGGATCATCTTCTAGGCATTGAGATGAGGTAAGTGATTTGAATAAGATAGTGATAAAGGAGGTAAAATGTAGGCTCTGAAGCCCTTATACTTTAACTTTTTTCTTTGAAGTATAACACTAGAAGGGGCTTGACAGGTGGTGCTAGTGGTAAAGAAACTGCCTGCCAATGCAGGAGACATAAGAGGCCCTGGGCTGGGACGATCCCCTGGAGGAAGGTATGGTAACCCACTCTGGTATTCTTGCCTGAGGAATCCCATGGACAGAGGAACCTGGAGAGCTATGTTCATAGGGTCACAAAGAGTCAGATATGACTGAAGCAAATTGGCACACACCCACATAGCGCTAGAAAGTGCACGAAACAGGATACAGCTCAGTGAATTTTCTCAAAGTGAATATCTATGTAATTTCTACTCCATTCAAGAAAGAACAGTACATCAAACACCATTCTTCCCCCACTCCATACTCTTTTCCTCTCAATATCTTTCCCTGGTCTCCCATAGTAACCACTATTAACTTCTAAAGTCATCATTTAATTCTGCCTGTCTTTGAATGTAATATAAATTGGACCACACAGTAAGTATCTTTTTGAACTTAGCTTCTCTGGCTGGACAAGCTCAATACCATGTTGCTCTTTTGCAATCCATGGTAGGAATATGCCACGATTTATTTATTTATTCCACTGTGGCTGGATATTGTTTCCAGTTTCTGAATACAGTATTATAAAGACGCTGCTGTGAACACTGGCCTATAGTTTAGCTCTCCTCCTTACCACCACAACTTTATCTTCTCTAGAAGCACACAGGTAACATATGAAAGTTGCTTTGTGGGACTGACATCTTTGATTCTTAGTGGAGAAGAAAGTGTGAAAAGTCACAGAATGGAATTCTAAGATACTTCAGTATTATTTAGTCAATAAGCCTTTGGTCATCTCTGTCAGACTCCATGGGTATAACAGTGAATAATACATAGTTACAACCCTCAGGGAATGCTGATACAGACCTGCTCTATCAAATCTGAAATGCAGGATATGCTTTGGTTTTTTTTTTCTGGGGGACAGTATCTCAGTCTCAAGTGATATTTAATTGTAATTCAGGGTTGAAAGAGTAGTTGTACTTCACATATGATGTTCAGATAGTGTAGTAAATTTCAAAAGCAGCTGCACATCAAAATTACCCATAGAACTTTTAAAAGATATATGAACTCTAAATCTAGATATCAGACGCTGATTCATTAAGTATTACTGACCTATGTTCCAAGTCCCTGTCTGGTAAGCCTATTGATTTGGCACCTCTCACCATTGTGCTGAAAAAACACTACGTTTTGGGAGCATTTTCATAGACTGTCATAGACACTTTAACGGTTTTCGTGTGCACTGATGAAATAACAAGGGAGAAGTCTATATGTGTGTGGGTTGTAAATACATGTGTGTATATTTATCTTTCCCCTCATGACCATAACTTTGCAGTAGTACAAGAAATGAGAAGAGTAATAAGCATCTAAAATGGTTAATAATATGACTAGCCATTCCTCTGGGTTCTCTGCCTCAGGTTTATGGAGCAGTGATGAACATAAATCGTGGGAATCCCTTTCAAAAGGAAGTGGTATTGGATTCGTGGCCTGACTTCAAAGCCATCATCACACGGCGGCAGAAAGAGGTACAGATTTAAAAGGCAAAAAAAGAATTGGTGCCAACTGGAATGAAAAGATGAAGTAAAGGGGAGATTGTAGCCATCACAGATTAACAAGCTATACACCTCACCATTAGCTTCTAATTTGACTGGCTTTGGAGTATCAGACACATGGAAACCTCCAGTCTAAATGCGTTCACTAGGATGCTTTCTCTAGTGTTTGACAGTCCCTAGAAGCATAAAGCAGATATGCTTGTACACACTAGTTTTCCCACTGGGTTGATGATTCCTTATGATCATTGGCTTTAGTCATATGGATAAATATGAAAGAAGACTAAAAAAGACAGCATCCTCCCCATTCTGCCTCTAAGACAAAGGAGAGGCTCACTTGATCAAGGGTGGTGTCCTGACCTCATTAGGAAGGTACTGGAGTTCTATATCTAGAGGATGTGTTTTATGTGTTTGTGATTATGTCTTCTGTCTTAGGCTGAGACAGACAACCTGGACCATTATACTAATGCCTATGCTGTGTTCTACAAAGATGTCAATGCTTACCGACAGCTGTTGGAAGAACACGGAGTTATCAACTGGGACCAAGTTTTTCAAATACAGGGTGGGTCAAGTACAAGACACTAGACAGGCATTTTTTTTCTCCTTTTTGTCATATCTATCAGATATATAAATATGATGCACTTTTCACACATATAAGCACACATATGTACAAATACACTTACATACATTTTATATATTAACAGTTTATGTATTACAGTATTGTAGCAATACTTTTTTTTATTGCTAATGAGGTTTGGCCTTTGTGCTTGGCAGAGGCCATTTAAATGAGGCTGCTTTTAAGCAATTTTTTTTTTCCCAAAAAATGGTATCAGTGAATAGCACAGGATATTTCTCCTTATTACTTCTAACCCTCTCCTATCATAATCTTTTAAAGTAAATCTAATTTAAGTCTAAGCCAATAGGTAAGCCTTTGTTCTTTCTAAAGCAAATGATTGTTGAAAAAGATAATCATCTGGTCTACATAGGATAAACTGAAATGATTTTATAAGTAAAGAGTATATGTGGGCTCCAAAGAGATAACTACATAGCCATCAATGCTTCTGGAAGAACTTTAGACCAAGAAACAGATTATGACTTTTGATTATTTGGATGGATAGCTTTGGCTTCAGTGTATCACTTGCTCTCTCAACTTTTTATAACGATTGGGAGTTGATATAGGCAATGAAGTTACTGTGTATATCTCTTCCAGTGAAATGAGTTCCTTGATCATTTGACAAGAATGTAGGAACCCCCATGTTAGATATATAAAGTCTGGTAATTTTTATCAGCCAGAAATAGCTGAAGCCCTCTACAAGAAAAGTTTCTGTCCAACTATAATGATTTATGTAAATTCATAACCTAAAAACTTGGGATGTTATATATATTAAAAAAAAATCCCTTTGCAAATGCTCAAAAAGACTTTATAGAAGCAGTTCTAAACTCTCCCACACATTTACAGATTTACCTCTGTTATGCTGGCTAGAAGTGAGGCGTAATTCAACCACTTGCTTATCTAAGTAACAATTCAGAAAAATCTCACCAGGATTACTTTAATGTGGAAATGAGTATATCTCCTCCTTAATGTGAAAAGTCATGGCAGTAACTGGATGGATTTTTGTATTGTTGGTTAATATCCTCAAATCCCCTGAATTCATCATTATGGAGAGACCATCCCTCTAATTGCCAATACTTTTTTTCAGAAGGCTGAGCTATTAGTTGTGAGTTATACACATTTTAACTGATAGTCATCTTTCCTGAGGGTTTGGTGGGGATAGATGTGAATTATAGCACCTAGTATAGCTGGAATGGTAAAACCCCTCATTTACCATGTAGAGTAGTACAGGCTCTTGACTTCTGATGTGGTCTCAACTGTAGGTTTCTGTGGTAAGAACTATAATCTCTTTAGGACACTGAATAGCTTCTAAGAAGTCATCAGGGTCTTTACTATTCTTATTCAGAGAACCTGAAAGGGTGGCATTTCTATAACATCTCTAAATCATGAGCCTCCCTAAAAGCTTATCAGCTAGACATAAACAGCCTTTTACTTTCTGCCAGTGCAGGCTAGGTCAGAACTAGCCTGCTAGTTGGGCTGGTGGATAGATCAGGATTTAGGCAGTGAAGCTGTTTCAGTACTGGGTGTTTAGAACAAGAACACACCCTGCATGGGAATGCCTTTGTCACTTTTAATCTAAGAACCATCCACAAACAATGTTAAATCAGGGTTAATCCTCTAACAGACTCAGAGGAGCCAAACTCCTTGCCTTTGCCATACCCAAGGGCAAGAAACAAAACTATGCACAACTGTCCAGACAGACCCTGCTGGCTCCTCACTGCTAGCTGCATGGATGAGAGAGCTTGTCTACAGGAGCACCAGCCTGAAAGTTTCAAAGGCCTGCTCAAAAAATGCTCAAAAAAATGTCCTCAAGTTCTGGCTTATTCAGTTAGCAACCCTTCCCCTTCTAAGGCGGTGGAGTGGACGATAGCAGAATGAGAAGCGGAGGTTCCTTCTTCCTTGGGAAAGGAGAAAATCATTTGTTAAAAGTGATACCCTGTCAACAGATAGAAGGACGTGATCCACAGCACCATGGAGAGATGATCGGCAAAATCTAAACAAATCCTGTTGTTTGGTGATTAAAGGCCCCAAACAGCAGGATTCGCTGACAAAAGTTTTTAAAGGGGGGAGAGAGGAGTTTAGTGGGAATCGAAAGATCTGTTGATGAAAAGACTCACAGGACAAAAAATGGGCAAAATCAAACTACAGTGTTTAAGGATGCAGGCTTGGATAATAAAACTGTAAAGAAAACAAGAAAATGGTTGTCTTAAAAATTATTATAATGATTATTTTTGGAGGAGAGAGAAGGAATTGTGATTAAAAGATTGGGAGAGTGATACATAGAAGGGAGCTCATCAAATTCTATCTGTGGCTTTAGAAGTAGTTAAAATGTATGCAATTATTACTAATTAAGCTATCCCCTTTATGCAGTTTTTGTTACCTGTTACATCTTATAAGTCTAAAATGTTATGTTTTAATTTTAGGATGACTTAGAAAGAATTGACTCAGTCTAACTTAGGAGAAAAAAGTTCTGTTGGAACTACCATCCACACCTTGAGTCAGCATGGCTCACTGCCACTTAGATGTAATTCAGTGTTTTAATACGGAGTGCTAGCCACAGCATCTATAATTTTAATAGCATTAACTAGAAGACTTGCTTATCTTTTCTTAGACTTAACTCCCTGATGGAGAAGCCAAGGCTCAGAGCACATTCTGTGTTCACCAGGACCTGCCGTTCATGTTTTCTTCAAGAGGAAGTGATTTCCTAGGAGAAGGAAACAAGCAATTAGATATGAAAGAAGTGGGAAAGTCAGTTTCCAGAGGATTCAAGCCATCAGCAGCCAGAATGGAAAGGACAGAGCAGATTAGCATTTGGAGAAGCAGAAGTCAGTTCTAAGTAAACAAGCCCCATGTGCCATGCTGTAATTACTATCAGAACAGAGACCATGGCATTCTTGAGTACCACTCTGGAGCTGTGCCCAGCTCAGTGCTTTACATACAACAGGAACTGAATAAGGGTTTATAGAGAATACAGTATAGCTATGACAAACGAGTGAGTTCTGGGTAAGTTAAGTTCAGAATAAACCTCACCAGTCTAAGTTTATATATTGACATTGCTGTGATGGGCATTTAGGCAGGAGACTGAAAGACAGTCTTTAAAGTGAGATTGCCCTGCCAAATAAATTGAAGCTCTTTCATATTTCTAGAGCTAGAAAACATCCCTTACTACCCTCAGGTGCTTAAGAGCATCTTAGAAGTCAGGAAAATAAAAGTTCCCATAAGACATTACAAATTCTTCTTTTTTTTTTTTTTACTTTTATTTGCATTTATTTTCTGCGGCATTTATTCCCGGGCCATAAGTTTTTGTTTCTTCAGTTTCTCCTTGGATAGCTTTTTTCTGTGCAACCTCCTCTTCTGGCTTAGGAACAATCTGTTCTTTCTCAGTAGGGATCATCTCAATGTGGCAGGGAGAGCTCATGTAGGGGTTGATCCGACCGTGAGCTCTGTAAGTCCTGCGCCGCATCTTGGGGGCTTTGTTCACAAGGATGTGCTCAATGACCAGAGAATCTACATCTAAGCCCTTAAGTTCAGCATTACTTTCTGCATTTTTGAGCATATGTAGTAAAAATTCAGCGCTCTTTTTGGGCCACCGACCCTGCGTCCAGCCCCACTGTTTGGCCTGTGCACACCTACCAACTCCACCATTGTAACGACGGAATGGCACACATTGCTTCTTTAAAGTGACATCCTTCAGATACTTGGTGGCTTTTCGGATATGCATACCCCTTATGGCCTGGGCAGTCTCACGAGTGTTCTTAAAGTGAACATGAAGATTTGAACCTCTTGATTTGCATGATTTTGTGGGGTTTTCTGGGTCGAGTGAATAGCGCACCATTTTCAAGGGTCAGCTCAGGCCGCTTACCGGAAAAGCAAGACATTACAAATTCTTAAGGGATAGTCCCATCGGAAATTCCCATGGAAGATCATGATCAACATGGATATTTGAAAATATCATACAAGACTTGAAAATCAGACAAAGGAGTAGCTCTGATAATACATATAAGAATACAAGGTGGTTAGGATAATACAAGGTGGGAAACTGGTGGTATTGATTATACCAAGTGTAGAAATACTATAACAAATTTCCTTTTGGCATTTTCAGATAAAGCGTCCACATTTTTTTTCATTGTGTGTTTCCACATACAGGGCTGCAGAGTGAATTATGTGATGTTTCCAAGGCTGTTGCCGACTCAAAGCAGGTGGATGTAAAGCTAGCTTCCTTCAAGGCTGTTTGCTTACCTACGGTTTCAACTGCAGACACGAGTTTCTTGTATGTAAACCAAGCTTCTCTTTCTGGGGGAGAACTTATGCTATGGGCGTACAAACTACAGTACCTGGAGTACTTAATACCATTAAGGAATATTCTGGGATGTTGGATATAGGTGACTGAATCTAAATGTGTGTGTGTGTTTACTCTTTTCCTTTTGCTCATAATTTTCCTGCAAAATCAAATCTGTGTCTCTGTCCATAGTAATTAACTATGGACAGTTTTTTCACAGAATACACAGAAAAAAATCATTTCTTGGGCATCATCCTCCTCCAAATAATTCTAAATAACTTCTGCTGTCTGCGCCCAAGGTGGTTATAATTGTTTTTTGTTGTTTCAGGGATGAAGATGTTTAACTGGCTTACGTGTCTTTTATGCCAGGCACTAAATGTTTTAAAGTTTTAAATACGTTGTCTCTTGAATCCTTTCTACAACCCTATAAAGCAGTACCATTATTATTCCCTTTTTGAACAGAATTGAAATAACACACAGGCACAAACTGTAGAGCCAGAAACAATCAAATCTGATTCCAGAATCCAGCCCTTCAGAACATGTGTTGGTTTATATCTGCATTCTTTCTTTTTTTTTAATATCTGCATTCTTTTACTTTGTGGTCCCTGATCTGTCGTTCACTAGTTACTTTCCATCTTGCCTTACCTTTCTGCGTGTGTGTGTGTGTGTGTGTGTGTGTGTTAGTCACACAGTGTGTCTGATTCTTTGTGACCCCATGGACTCTAGACTGCCAGGCTCCTCTGTCCATAGGATTCTCCAGGCAAGAACAGTGGAGAGAGTTGCCAGTTTCTTCTCCAGGTTATGTTTCTGAGCCTCAATCAGTTCTTTGTAAAAATGAACCTATAATATCTTCTTGGAGTGTTTCTTGTAAGCAAATGAAACCTGATATCTGAAAAGTATATTCACATTCAGTGAATGTTACTTTTCTTCACTTCTGTGGTGTATGTTGAAGTAATTATTGAGCAAAACAAGACTAAACCTAGAAAAGAAGGGAAACTTTAAGTCACATAAAGCAACTGGATTTTACTGTGACTTTTTCAGTTATGAAAATTTTCAAACACAAGAGTTGAGAAACTAGTGTAATTACTAGTGTAATTAACCTCCAAAACCAATATACTTTAAAAAAACCCTTAAACATCTGCCTCTTTCAACCACAAAATAATGCAGTTCTCAGTTTTGTTTGTTCTTCATTCAATTCCAACTGTAACCTTTTCAACAATACATTTTCCTATTAATTGAATTAAAAAAAATATAACCAGGCTTGTGCTCATTAAATATACATGTATATTTTAAAAATATACAAAAAGTACTAGATTTATATGTTAGGAATCTTTTATCCAGACCTCTATCTTTCCCACCCCTTGATTTATTCTAAAGGAAATATCTTAGATATTATTCCATTATACTTAAATATTATATCTCCAAAAGAATTATTATTATTATTATTTTTTTGGCCAGGCCTCACAGCTTGTGGGTTCTTATTAATCCCTGGTGGTTCAGATGGTCAATAATCTGCCTGAAATGCAGGAGAGCCCAGTTCAAACCCTGGGTTGGGAAGATCCCCTGGAGGAGGGCATGGCAACCCATTTCAGTATTCTTGCCTGGAGAATCCCCATGGACAGAGGAGCCTTGTAGGCTACAGTCCATGGGGTCAAAAAAAATTGGACATGACCGAGTGACTAAGCATAGCATAGCATGGCTTGTGGGATCTTATTAATAGCTCCCCCATCAGGCATCGAACCCTGGCCCCAAAAGTGAACACATTGAATTCACTCAGGGAATTCCCAAGAATTTTTTTTATTAAAGTGCTATAGTAACATCACCTCTGTGTCAGGGGTCCCCCAGACCACCTATAAGTTCAGTGATTGGCTAAGAGGACTCACAGGACTCAATATATTTAGTTGTGGCTATAGCTTATTATAACGAAAAGATACAAAGCAAAATCAGCACAGGGGAAAAAGGTGCTTTGGCAAAGTCCGGAGGAAACCAGGCACAAACTTTCCAGAGGCCTCCCTGAGCAGAGTCAGACTATGCATTTGATTCCCAGCAATGAGTTGTGACAACACAGATAAGAATTTTTTATTGGAGGTGCCCTCTGCAAAGCAGGCACCAATTTCCTAGACTCCCAGGAGGAAAACAGGTGTTCAGCATAAATTACATTGTACAAACAGTCCAAGCTAACCACTCTTAGCAGTTCTGGGAATGGCAGGACTCCTCCAGTAATCCAAAAGTACCAGACACCTAGCCAAAGGCCAACCTGGCGATCAGGTTCTCTAAAAATAGTGGCCTTAAGCCTGCTTTGTTAGCTCTTTCCTTAATATTTTGTGAACACTATTTCCTAAATATAAAATGACCTGTTAGTAGTCCCATTTCCCTATTTATCATAAAACTTTTAGCACTTTATTTGTTTTGAATAAGCACCTGGTTATTATATGCAACTGGTTAATATCTCTCTTAAGTTTCTTTTGACAGACAGGTATCCCTTTCATCTCTTTTTATTTCTTATGTTACTTTTGGTTGAAAAAAAAATCAGGCTATTGGTCCTTTAGAGTTTCCCACAGTCTGTCCAATTCAATAGACATGAATTTGAGCAAATTCCAGGAGATAGTGAAGGACTAGGAGGCCTGACATGCTGCAGTCCATGGGGTTGCAAAGAGCCGCTCACAACTGAGGTACTGAACAAGCCTGTTTGCTGTCATATCCCTGAAATGTTATTTAAAATTTTCCTCAATCCCCCGTCAGATTTGTTTAAATCAGATTTTTACTTGAGTTGCTGCTTTCTGCATAGGAAGTTAGACAATTTGTCTTTAAAACCTATATCATTACCCAAATTTGTACACTTTATTTTGGATACCCGCCCTTCACATACAAGGTCATTGTCTCGAATGTCCCTCCTGAAACACATGGTTTAGTGTTTTTATTTGTAGTGACATAACTACCTGAAGCTTCTTTGACTTTGTTCTAAAGTTTATTTTCGAGAATTAAATGAAAAAATCCTATTAAGCCAGTTATTGCCTGCATTTATTTATATTCTTTCCCCCTGCTTAGTGGTTAGGCGAATGGCCCAGTTCCAGGTCTCACAGAATACCTGAAATATGAGCTAACATTGCATAACCACTAATAAAAGAAAACACAAACTTGTACTTCATAAAGAAGGACATAGTACAGGACCTCCCTGGTGGTCTAGTGGCTAAGATTTCACACTCCCAGTTCAGGGAGCCCAGGTTCAATCCCTGCTCAGAGAACTAGATCTCACCTGCTACAACTAAAAGATCCAAAATGCTGAAACTAAGACCTGGAGCAGTCAAGCAAATATTTAAAAAATGACATAGTGAGATTGATATCAGTGGCCTCTTAACTGGGAATGGTCTTAGGATATTGATAACTTCAAGCATGAAAGAAAATTTAAAACACAATCAGCCCCCAGAGACTTGCAACAAAGTAACCTATCTCAGTTCTTAGAAACTGCAACAATTTCTGTCCTTTTTGTTTGTTTGTTTTTTTAATCTTAACACTCATGGATTTTGAAACCTTCTTCCAGAATGTTTAGGGAAAGGTCTGAAAGAGCTAGCATTTCTTAATCATCTACAAATGCCTAGAACATTAAGCAGTTTATATTTCTTTTCTGGACATGGCTGCATAAATATAGGAGTCTTATCCTAAAACATTTATTGTTACCAAGAAAAAGGTTAGGGGCCCAAGTATCTGGACTTATTCAAGGCCTCAGAGAGGGTGTCAGCAGACTCAGGACTTAATAAGAACAAGTCTGAGGTTTATTCTCCAGAAAAATGAAACCCTTCCCTTCATCTATTCTGAGGACAATAACAAGTGGGCATAAAATTTGAAGGAAAGACTTAGACTCAATATAATGGGTGTTTCGTCCTGTTGGAAATGAAATCCTAAAAGATGTTTGTAAGTGGTAAGTGATGGGTTTTTATTTATTGAAAATATTCTAGTATTTGCAAGGCACTGTCTCCAGGATGCTTTCTCAGTTTGAATCAATGTAAAAAGAGAGGTAGTTGGGGAATTCCCTGGAGGTCCAGTGGTTGGGACAGGGTACTTTCACTGCTGGGGCCAGGTTTGATCCCTGGTGGGAGAACTAGGATCCCCCAAGGTTTGAAGTGAATTAAAAAGAGAGAAATACTTGGTTGTGGTCATGTGATCCCGAGTTTATATTTCTTCCCCTGTCATTTTCTTCAAGGATGAGTTCTTCCCTACGACTAACCTACCTGAGTGTTGCTGATGTTGACTTACTCAACCAGACTTGGTCTCGGGGCGGCAATGAACAGTGTCGCCGATACATCGCCAACCTCATCTCCTGCTTCCCCAGTGTGTGTGTCCGTGATGACAAGGGGAACCCCATGTCTTGGTCTATGATGGACCAGTTTGCCACCATGTGCCATGGCTACACCATGCCTGAGCATCGCAGGAAAGGTTATAATCAGCTAGTGATCCTCACGTTGGCCAGAAAGTTGCAAAGCCGGGGATTCCCCTGTCAAGGCAACATCGTGGATGACAACACGACATCCATTAACCTCGCGAAGAGCATCCACGGTGACTTCTTGCCTTGTCGGTTCCATAGGCTGATTCTCACTCCTCCAGCTTTCGCTGGGCAAGTTCACCCTTAGCCCATTGGAACTCCAGGCGTTCTCTTCCTTTTTCTGAATATACACATACTCCTTAGCTGCCAATGAGGGAAAAATTAAAACTAGGATCAGGGGGACTTTAAATTGTTGAAAAAGACCAGAAGACAAACAGGCTTAGGCTGGGAAGCCCTAACTCTCCCTGTCTCAAATTTCTACAGTAGTGACGATAGGGGTCAGAAACAGCTGTGACTAGAAACAGGATAACTATCTTCCTTTAGGATCCACTGCAGGAAGAAGGCTCTAAAGCCAGCAGTCTTAGCACAGGAGCAGAAATGACTGCATGAGAACAAATGACGATCATGGGCGAACCTGGATACTGCATTATCATTGCCCTTGGGCTCATGCCCGCTTTTCTACAACCACACCGGCATCCTACAACCGTAAATAACACTCTCCTGTGCCTGCCACTGCTCTGTCTCCCCGAATCTCTTCCTACCACCTGTGACTCAGGTTCTCTGTAGACCATCCTGCCTTCCCCCCTCCCCCCTTTAATTTCTGTCTTTCCTCTAGCCTATAGTTTTTCCCTGGGAATGTTTGAATGAATGGTTCTCACATTTTAGTGCATTTCAGAATCACCTGGAGGGCAGGTTGCAACAAAGATAGCTGAGTCTCTCCCCACAGCCCCTGATTCAGTTTGAGGATGGGTCTGAGGTCAGGCCTGAAAATTTGTACTTCTAACAAGTTTCCATTTCTCAGTTGCCTTGGATGGAGGAATGAACACATGAGCATTTTAAAAGCTAGAAGCAGATGCTCTCAGCGTAAGACTGGACACTGCCTATCACCTATTCCAGCCCCCTTGTTCATAATCAGCTTTCTCATGGAAAACTAAGAGGTCTATTTATGTAGGTGTGCATTTGGTATGCAAATATAAACATACATATACATATATTGTCACTTCTTTCTTACTTCTGTATGCATCCGTACATACTCAGAGAATTGTGGTAAGATAGTAAACTTTAGTTTATTCTCCTTGCATGTGAATATTTGTGGACCAAAGAAAATGACTTCTTCAAGATTATATAGATAACCAGTGCTAGAGGTTGAGCCAGAATGGTGTTATGTTGATTTCAAACTGTTTCCTTTTCACTAGACCATGTATCTTTTTAAGAAATGTAAAATAAATTTAAATGATTAAATAATAAAATCAACATCTCCTTCATCTTTTATTCTTGTCAGTAATTTTTTTTTTAAATTTGGGTTCCAATTGCTTCTGTCTGTGTATCTTTCAAGGACAGTAAAGGAAGAGATAAACATCACAAGCTGTGTTCTTCTATCTGCAATAAAAGCCGACACAAACAATGGTTGGATTTGTTTAGTCTGGATAAAATTGACTCAGCCATATAGAAAATATATGGCTTATATGGTTTCTTACTGTGTGGAGGTCACAAAAATCTCAACTACAAAGATAAGAGGAAATCTAAATTTTAGGTGTTTATTCTGAGAAAAATAATGGAGAAGGAAATGGCAGCCCAGTCCAGTACCCTTGCCTGGAAAATCCCATGGACGGAGGAGCCTGGTAGGCTACGGTCCATGGGGTCGCAAAGAGTCGGAGACGACTGAGTGACTTCACTTTCACTTTTTTTCTGAGAAAAGTAAATTGGCTGAAGGAGAGCTTCAGGTATAATGAAAACAGTTCCTTGGGAGTGAATATATGCTTAGGTCATCCTGAGCCAGTGGTTACCTAGAGACTTATCCTTGGGCCCGGAGGGAAGAGTTCTAAGGAACTGGAGTCGGTAGGTCTCTCAGGAGAATGTGGTCTAATTTCTGCCCCAGGGACATGCAGTATCTATTGCACTGATGAGCAGAGGCTTACTCCCACCTGGTACATGGTCTCATTATTACAGCCTTGTGCCTTCTTTCTTCCTAATGATAATGTGCCTGCTGTTTACTTAACACTTAACTGAATGCTGATAATTGTGCCAAATTTTATATACACTTACGTGTAATAAATATATGTGTGTGTTTATTTTATCATGGGGAGTCTGCCTCAGGGGTTTAATGACTCATCAAGAGTTATGCAGATTTTAAGTCATGATCAGAGCCTGATTTGTCAGATTCTGAAGCCTGTACATCTGTGTGTGTGTGTGTGTGTGTGTGTGTGTGGCCATGACAGGTGTTAGTAGCAGCATGTGAGATCTAGTTTCCTGACCAGGGATTGAACCTGTGCCCCTGCTTTGGAAGCACGGAGTCTTAACCATTGGACCACCAGGGAAGTCCCACGAGGCCTGTACTTTCAATTGTTATTGGCCTCTCAAGCAGCTTGGAACTCTTTGGGGACTCAGTAGAGACAATATCCTCAGCTACCGTGAGATGTGTGTTTGTCTGCTCAAGGTGGATGCTGCCTGGGTTTTGCAACTGTCTTTGCATTGAGTGAGGATAAGACTTCGCTCTGCATCAGACCCACTGAGAAGAAATACAGAGGAGAAACAGAGAATTCAGTCTGCTCAAAGTTTGGGAGCAGGATAAGACAGGGCAGTTTGGAGGACATATACACATCCTCTAGAACAGAATCTCATCCAACAACACAAGCTTTGTTTCTACTCAATTTGCAATTCTGTCACGAATTTTTGTTTGGTGATTTAAATTTTGACAAAAACATGAAAGAACTATAAATTACCTGTCTTTCAGTTGTCTGTGATAATACCTAGTTTTCCCTAATTGCAGTAAACTGTAATGTAACTGAGCAGGACCGCATGGGGCCTTTAGGGGGAGGGGAATAGGCCTTTAGCTCCTCTCTGAAGTACCTAGATAATAGTACTTACCTTACATTTCCTGAGTTGTTTTGCAGATACAAAACCACTCCTCCTCCCTCACCAGATGGAAGATGTTAACTGCTGGACAACTGTGAACTCCTGGAGCCTAAGGACTGATGCTAACCCATGTGACCTCACCCTGTTCCCTCTCCATCAGCCAATTAGAGAACTGTGCAGGAGTTGACCCTGCAACCCACCTCACTTCATCTGGCTTTTAAAGTGCCTTGCTGAAACACTTTGAGGAGCTGGGACCTTTTTAAGGTATGAACCACCTTGCATAGCCCTGCAGTAAGCCTTTCTCTCCTACAAACTCCCACGTGTCAGTTTGTTTGGTCTCACTAGGAGCAGGGAAAAATTAAAACTGAAAGTAAAACACAACTGATGGAATCACACCGCACCACCTTCAAAGATGATTTCTCCCTTCTAGCTGGGATGTTAGCATTAGAATTATTTTGTGCTGTATTATGCTTAGTCTCCTCCAACTCTTCGCCACCCCATGGACTGGAGCCTGCCAGGCTCCTCTGTCCATGGGGATTCTCCAGGCCAGAATTCTGGCGTGGGTAGCCATTCTCTTCCCCAGCCCAGGGCTCGAACCCAGGTACCCTGTATTGCAGGATTCTTTATCAACTGAGCGGCCAGGGAAGCCTTAAAAAAGAAAAGAAAGAAAGAAAAATAATCTAGCTAGCTAGCTTCCTTTCCCCCAGGTTTCTAATCACCCATGTTTTTCAATCTCTGGTAGAAATATTGGCTCCAACTATAATACCCAATTGCTGACAGCACTTTGCTTTTTCTGATCTTACTGTACCTGGCAATGAGAGGAAAAGGAGACAGAAGCCACTCCCAGCTTCTCTTTTTTTTCTTTAGCCCCTTCAACCTCAGCAATGCTGGTAGCATGTATATTCCCAGCCCTGTTCCACGTTTGTTCACTTCTTGAGTGAACTTTTGCTCACCTCCACCCCCCCCACTTATTCAGGCTCTTGTGATTTTAAAAGTTACAAACAAGAATAGCTAACAATGAGTTACCCTTCTTACTAACTGACGTGGAGCTTTCTCTCCCTCTAACAGATCTATGCATTTCCAAGGCTGCTTGAGTAAACAGTATTCAATTGAAAACTGTTAAAAGGCATTATTTATAATGCAATAGGACTGTCAAATGTTAGTTAGTACCATGCAGTTACTGCACTAAACACTAGATGTCAGATTTTAGTTCTAGATTATTTCTCAAAGAGCTAGCACTTGTTTCCATTTGTTTCATTAAAATTTTTTTACATTTTGGACTATTTCCTTCCAGCAGATTCCTGGGGCTAGGAGCATGGAAAATAAATATGCAAAAATAACAATACAGATTTTGAAAAAAAATTAGGTTAAAAGGGGAGATTAACCCCACTAATATTAAAACATACTATAAAACTCATGTAAAGTGTAGTAATGGTACATGATTATGCACAACAGTGTGTTGGGGTGGGATCGGGAATGCCCAGAAATAACAAGTACATAGGAAAGCTTAAAATAAGATCAAAGTGACATCTCAAGTCACTTGGATAAAGATGGAATTTTAAATAAGTAGCAGTGAGACAAATGGATAGCAATCTGAAAAAAAGTAAAATAAAATTGTACTCATTCTTCATATTATACAAAAATGAATTCCAAATTGATCCAAGATACAAATAAATAAATAAAGAAGTCATATAAATACTAGAAGAAAACATTGGTTGGTTCCTTTATCATTCAGAAACAAGAAAAATCTTTCCAAATTTAGAAGTAATAAAACTATTAAGTTGGATAAATAAAATACATATGTATGTGTGCATGTGTGTAATACCTCAACGGCAAAAGACTAAATCTAGTGTCAAAATACAAATTACAAACTAGGAGAAACTATTTGCAATTTATATTACAAATAGAAAATTATTTTCAGTAAAATATAAACAGCCCTTAACAGTGAGAGGAAAAAGTACTCAAACCCAATAGAAAAATGAGCAAAAGTCACGATGAATTCACAGAAAAACAAAACGGTCCTAATGCGTGGTTGTTCAGTTGCTCAGTCATGTCCGACTCTTTGTGACTCCATGAACTGCAGCACACCAGGCTTCCCTGTCCTTCACTATCTCCCAGAATTTGCTTAAACTCATGGCCATTGAGTCAATGATCTCATCCTCTGTTGCTCCCTTCTCTTCATGTCCCCAATCTTTCCCAGTATCAGGGTTTTTTTCCAGTGAGTTGGCTCATCGCATCAGGCAGCCAAAGGAATGGAGCTTCAGCTTTAGCACCAGTCCTTCCAATGAATATTCAGGCTTGATTTTCTTTAGGATTAACTGGCTTGATCTCCTTGCTGTCCAAGAGACTCTCAAGAGTCTTCTCCAGCACTACAGTTCAAAAGCATCAATTCTTCAGTGCTCAGATTTCTTTATGGTCCAGCTCTCACATCCATACACAACTACGAGAAAAACCATAGCCTTGACTATACGAAAAAGATGCTTAACTTTACATAAATGAAGAATGCATTTAAACTATCATGTGATATCTCTTCCTACCTATCAGATTGGCAAAAATAAAAAATATTGAGACACGAATTTGATAGTAGGAGTAGGAAAGCTATAACTCCACTGAGGGGAATTCAGTAACATCTAATAAAACACATGTGCATTTCCACAATTCAACTTCCAGAAATTTAGACTGAGGATCTCTCCACAAATCTAAAGCCAATGTTTGCACTGGGTTATTCACTCCCATATTACTCTTTGTAATATCAAGCTTTTAGAGACAACCTAAATTTCCATCCTTCAAAGTCGATTTGAATGAATTATGAGACATCTACACAATGAAGTGTTTATAACCATAAGGAAGTTCTCTGTGCTATAACCTGAGGTAATTTCCATGATATGCTTTTAAATGGAAAAAGAAAACTACATGTACAAGAGTCTATAAGAAAGAATGAGGAAATTAGTGTATATCTAATAGATCTCTGCTAATTTTTCTTACTTTTGCTAACAAAAATACAGGAAAATTAAATCAGAAACTAATTTTTAAATGACTTGTAAACAGTGGAGTAAGGCATTGCAGAGTCAAACAGTATTGCGTGACTGAACACACATAGTGGAGTTAAAGATGGGAATGACTTCCAGAATATATCCCTTTCATACTGTTTTGACTTTTGAACAATGTATGAAACTGGGTATGTGTGTGCATTAGTTGCACAGTCGTATCTGACTCTTTTCA